GCCGGGGGGAGCCGGGTGGACGGACGGGGGAGCGGCGGTGCGCTCACCTCCGGGCAGCCCTTCGTGGGGAGCGCGGAGAAATGGGGGGTAAGATCCAAGCGTGCGGGGGAGCGGGCTACGGCGAGCGAGGGGCGTTCCCCGCAGCCTCCCCGGGGACGGTTTCCGACGGGAAGGTTGCAGCAGCGGCTGGTGCCTTCGCCCAGCCGGGGGGTACCGCGTGAAGCTGAGGTGCTTGGGCTTGGTAGAGGCCGAGGCCCTGCCCGCTCCTGTCAGACAGCCAGCTTAACAGAAGGCTCCCACCTACCTCTGAAACTCTGCTGAACTGAGGTCGATGCCTTTGGGGGACTGCTTAACAAATCGTCAACGCTGTTTTGTGTGACTGCTGTCTTTCCATCTGCAGGATCTTTTTGCTTTGCTTTCAGAGACAGGTTAGCAAGAATCTTAATCGTATTCATTTTATTTTAACGTCTGCTGCTTTTAAATGTTGCTCGCTGTTACTCTTATTAAAAAAAACCCAACAGTTGTCCAAGGTTGGCATTTTCACAAAAGAGTTTAAACAAAACGTGTATAAAGCCTCCTCTCTGATTAGTTTTTATGTAAACGGACATTATTTTGTTATTCTCTGAAGAAAATTCAATATTTGCTTTTCTCTTTCTTCCTCAGAAATACCCACCTTATATTTCATCAAGTATCCCTTTCCTTGGACATGCAATTGCATTTGGAAAAAGTCCCATTGAGTTTTTGGAAAACGCCTATGACAAGGTATGTTTTCCCACATGACTGGCTGAGCATATGCTAAAATATTTCCGTGTATCTATGAAGTTCTCTATCTGGAACCTGTTTAAAATCAATTCATTCTTATTTACTGCCTTGAATATAGAATGCAGAATAGGCTCTGGTTTCTTCAGATCTCTTTATGTACATCGTTGTTAGAGAAATAGTGTTTTCTGAGATATCTCTTGTGTTTCAGATTTAAAAAATATGCCTGCGTATTTGGCTAATGCTCATAGCCGAATCACAGGTTAATTAAAAAGTCATTTTCATGATGTTATTTCTTGCCTTAATTGGGGCCCTTTAATCTCGCTCTTTACTAATCTGTGAGTATGCTGGAATGTAGCTGACCACCTCTGTAGGCAATTTGATGACTTTTAAGGCCCTCTCTAATGTTAAAAGGGCTGGTGTATAAAACCTTAATAGGTTTCATAGTATAACAGCCCAAAAGAAATGGACTAAGGCAGTAGAGCCTGAATTCCAATGAAATAAGATTTAATGATCTGCTTCACATTGTCTAAAACTTAAGCTTGAATCTTAGCCTGGTTAACTTAGAGAAAGCCAAATTGAGCATGTGAAGATCTGCTGGACGTGACCCTTAAAGTTTAAAATTGTATTTGCTCTTAATTACCTATGCATAACTCCAAATCCAGAATTTTTTGAGACAGTGTTTGTAGATTACTGGAGGCTATGTGTGCTGTAATCTCTCTGCTAGTTTTTGTAGTGTAATTGATCTTTTATTTACATTCTTTAAACTAAATGGTTTTAAAATGTGCAAGATGATGTGTGTTCATTATAATGTTAGATGTCACTAGTAAGTATATTGAGAACAGAATATAAATGTGGTTTAAAATATTTATATCTTTATTAAATCTCCAGAAACTTCTTAGGAGAGTAAGTGATTTATGGAAGCCTGTACATAAAGAGATACAGATTTAATGATTTGTGTTCTTCTTATTTAAAGTAAACTGGTTTGGTTTTTTCTCTCTTAGTATGGACCTGTGTTCAGTTTCACTATGGTTGGCAAGACATTCACATACTTACTGGGTAGTGATGCTGCTGCTCTACTCTTCAATAGTAAAAATGAAGATTTGAATGCAGAGGATGTATACTCTCGGTTAACTACACCAGTTTTTGGCAAGGGAGTTGCTTATGATGTCCCTAATATGGTATGTATTTTAAATATAAGATCAGTAGAGAAATAGAGATTTAAATTCTGAATAGGCAGCCCTGAGCTCTTGGCTCTGTATGATGGGGTTGTGTGTTCATACAAAATTCTGGCATATTGAGGTAAATTGTCTCTGTTGGATAATCAAGACTGAACAGGTTTAGGTTGCTTTACTTACCACCTGGCCATTTGTCAGTCTGGGTGCTATTTTTTGTTCTTGAAACCATCTAATCCAACCACAGAGGAAAAACTAATAAGCAAGTCTCTTTTTCCTTCCCTTATAGCATGCCACTGACTGCAGTTTTTCCCTCACAAGAAACTTTAGTTCTTCCTTCTGAGAGAGCTTTAAGAGAGAGAATTTTTCATTTGTGCCATGCCCAATCTAGATACAGGAGTATTAAATTGACAGTTTGCACCACAAGGTTTGTCTTGCTCAGGCAAAAATCAGTTTGTGTATGTTTGCAGAATACAGTGTGCGTGGGTCTGGAAGCACAGTGGCTGTGTCATGTGGCATTGTTTCTGAGCTAAGCGTTGGTTGCTTTCTTGTTTGTGCATGTTGTCTGGTGTGACAGGTTCTTAAACTGCAGAAACCAGGTTTTTGGTGGGCAGGCTTTCTCCACTGGGACTCTGTATTCAGTGTATGTTGACCTCGACAGTCTTTTGTACAACATAGTAGTCTGGTAGCACAAACAGCATTGTGATGGTCTTTATTTTTGGATTTTCAGCTTTGGCTTAGTTTTGTTCATATAGATGCCAGTTATTTAACCAGTAGTAGTTTCTGTGGCCGTCAAGACTTTTCCTCCTTAGCATGCCTCTTCATTCTCCCCTGCCAAAGGTACTTGCAGCGATTGTTGCTCTCTTAATTATGTGGCTTAGGGGCAGTAGTCACTAGTCTCTTTTCCTCCCCACCAGCCTTTTGCTGTGACCCACAAATTATGTATGTTGTTCTTACCCCATTCTTTTGGAAATTTCATATACAACTGACTACCAACAATTTGCCACTTTGTAAATAAGTTAAGGAGAACTTAGTTGTCTCCTGCTTTGTCAGGAAGAGTTAAATTGTGGATAGACAGTGTCACAAAGTTTGGGGGGAGGATTATTTGGGTGGTAGGATTTTTTTGCACTTGACGGATTTGCGTAGCTCCTCCCATGCCTTTATGAATGAAACCAGCAGCCTGGATAACAAGTAGGACATTTCTTGAGTCCTGGGAGACCTCTTCCACAAGTGGGGTCATTCTAGCAGACTTGTTTTTACCAGTTCTGACAGTTGGAGGTCTTCCTCAAAAAGTCAGGGGTCTGTTTTGGAGCTGCTAGAGTGGAGAGGATACATGATTCTCTGCAATACATCTTTCATGTTTTTCTCTGGTATATACTGGTTTCAGAAAAGTGTCTTTGAATCAGACATAGACTGCTAAGTTGGCCAGATTTTCCCTATGTTGTGCTTATTCTTTGTATTCTGACTGCAGTGGGATGTCTGCTTGGAACGGAAAGGTGTTGGTTTGTCTCTTAATTCTGTGAAAGATCATCCACTTCTTGTTACAGCTGTTTTGACTTATGCTTTCACACATAAGTTTTGACTTATGCTTTCGCAGTTCATGGATGGATTTGAATGGCTGTCTTCATTCAAGAGCTACTTCTATGGGATCTAATCTCATCCTTCAGGAGTTTTATAGAACTTTCTATAAACTCCTTGGAAATGGTCATTTCTTACACCTTCAGGCCTATAGGGATGATTAAGGCCTACCTTGCTGGTCTGCCATATACTGCTTTTTTCTGAAATAAGGTCTTTTTCTAGAGTTACCCTAGTTTTTTCCCTAGCATGTGTTTGAGTTCTGCTTTAATCAAGAGGTTAATCTTTTCATATTAATCAGCCTTTGGGTATCTGTGGATGTCTACTTCATTCATACCTTTTATACTGCAAGGACTTCTTCCTTTTTATCTCTGCAGATTCAGGTTCCTCAGAAAATCACCTGGGCTCCTTTTTTTCTGCAGCTAGGAGATGCAGGCGTTTTGTTATTGGCATGCACTGATTATCTCTGTTATGTGTTTCCCCATATGACACTAGTGAGGTAGTGTGTCTGGTTGAGGCCAGAATGCATTCTGCTAGAGGTGAGCTGTTGTTTTTGTATAGTGCTGCCACCACAACTTCGTTTCAGACATCTACTGGGAAAGCATTTAGAGAGCTGTTCAAACTGTCATTGCGGTTCTACTGTTGGTGGATCATCCAGAACTTCTTTTGAAGCCCCCTTCTCCTTGCTGAAGTCTCTGTCTCTTAGTCTGACAGTGGCTTTCATTCATGTGTTTAGAAGAGCCACCCCTTATAGTTGACTACTTGTTAGAATGTAACTGATGACTCTTTAAAAGGAAAAAGTTACTTATTTACCAGTAATTCTGGTAATGGTTTATTAATATGCCTAGTCTATATGTCAAGTTGTATTCACTCTCTGTCTCTGCCCCCCAAGCCTTTTGCAGGTAGTTTTGCATTGAGAGGAACTGAAATGGCTGAGGATGTGTTCACTCCTGTCTCTGTCAGCCTTTCCTGTCTCCGTCAAGCTGCAGATGGGCTAGCATGTTGCAAGGGAAAATGTGCTTGTCTCTCTTCTCTCTGGCATGTGTACCCTCTGATAGGCTGCTGGAATTCCCACTACATTCTGAAAACAAGTTTCTAGGAAGTAACCTTTCTTCTTGTGCCTTTTGTTTAGTGAATAACTATAGTACGTGCAGAGCCCTTGGTGGGAAGACAATTTTTGGTGTATTGCTCATGATATAGTGCAGATCTATAGAGCAGATGCCCTAATTCATGATTAGGGCTTAAAAGTTCATTGAATACTTTTCCGAGTAGATGACTTGTCAGCCTATTGAATGGTTCTCTAATAATGGGCTTTTTACTAGTAGGTTTATTAGCTATGAGTCTATACAAAGAAAAAAAGGAAGAGGTGAGAAGGATGTGAAGCTCACCATTTTCCTAGGAAGCAGTTTGCTTCCTGGGCAGTGATCAGAGGGCCTTGTAAAAGAAAGGTGCATCTCTAGACTAGAGGTAAGGTATTACTGTGTGGGAGAAGACAGGCATTCAAGCAGAGAGAAAGCAAGAAGGCCACATAACAAAGAACACATACTGAATCCAGACTTTGCAAGGACAGATCTCATTACATTTGTGATTATGTATTTAAAGTGCGTTCCGTATTTCAAACTTGAGTGCTTCTTGTATCTTCAGGGATAAAGTTTAACAAAGATATTAAAATTATTTTCTGTTTTGGTACTGTAAAAGAGAGAATTGTAGCTCCCTTAAGCTAATATTTTACTTGGGTGTTACTGAACTTTTGCTTGAAAAACAAAGAAGGTGAAAATGGAGTATTACCTACTTAAATTTGGCTATCTGTTGTACCCTACAATCCTAACCATAATTTCTTTTTGCTTCTATATATTCTTAAAGTGCAAATGATAATAAGTTGTTAATTACATCAATATGATGATCCTTGCACTGATGGCTTTTGCTGTCTTGGTTCCTCTAGGTATTTTTGGAACAGAAGAAGATGCTCAAAACTGGGCTAAATATTGCCCAGTTCAAACAGCATGTATCTGTGATTGAAGAAGAAACAAAGGAGTATTTCAAAGCATGGGGAGAGAGTGGAGAAAAAAGTAAGCAAGATCAGATGCATTTTTCCTCAGATTTTCTGGGAAGTAATTAAGGCCAACACACTATGTTTTTGTAAATGATTTACTGCAGTATTAAAGAAATTAAAAATGACATAGATAAAACTGTACAGAACATCAGAAGACACATGCAAAATAGATTTTGTTTAATCAAATTTAAAGCTATCAGAGAATAAATCTGCTCAGAAAACCATTGACAAGAGTAAAGGGCTATCTTACTTTTGCTTTCTTACTTGGCTAATAGAGAGTGTACCTGTTGCTTGGCTGAATCATGCTCGTGTTGCATGGTATGAGTCAGCTCAGTGTAACCACCTCTTAGTCCCTAGGAAAAGATACTGCTCTGACTTCCCAGAGCCTATCAGAGATCTTAGCTCAGTGATCTTCTATGCTGAAGAACTGCATCCATGAAGCTGATAAGGTTAGATTAATGATCTAAGGGGAATTCTTTTGTTTCCTACATGTCTTTCACAACTAGCCTGCTAGGCATAGCGTCACTATTGTTGCAAGACCACATTGGCATAACGGTGTCAGAAATATTAGTTATTTAAACATATGTATTTATAAGATATATTATATAAATACATAATACTTATATATGTTGTGGTTTAACCCCAGCCAGCAACTAGGACCACACAGCTGCTCACTCACTTCCCCCTTGGTGGGATGGGGGAGAGAATTGGAGTAAAAGTGAGAAAACCTGGGGGCTGAGGTAAAGACTGCTTAATAAGTAAAGCAAAAGCTGCTCACACAAGCAAAGAAAAACAAGGAATTCATTCACTACTTCCCATCAGCAGGCAGGTGTTGAGCTGTCTCCAGGAAAGCAGGGCTCCATCACGACCAAGAGTTGCTTGGGCAGACAAAGTGCCATCACTCCGAACGTGCCCCCCCTTCCTTCTCTTTCCCCCAGCTTTATATTCTGAGCGTGATGTCATATGGTATGGGATATCTCTTTGGCCAATTGGGGTCAGCTGTCCCAGCTGTGTCCCCTCCCAAATTCTGGTGCCCAGCCCACTCGCTGGTGGGATGGTGCAAGCAGCAGAAAAGGCCTTGAGTGCTAGTGACAACCAAACCCACCAGTGTGCTGTTAATCAACACTATTTCTCATCCCAAATCAAAAACATAGCACTACACCAGCTGCTAGTAAGAAAGGCAGCTCAGTCCCAGCTGAAAAAACCTGACGATATAGCACTTATATGCTTATAAATAGTATTAAATACATATAACTTATAAAATATATTTTTAATAAATAAAATAGCTAAAGATAAAATTATATATTACCATATTAAATGTATAAATATTATTATTTAAAAATAACTCAGTGAGCAGCAAAACTAAGTGGTTTTCCATGGATTTGGATTTCAAGTCATTTTCATGTGACTTCTTTTATATTTGTTAAGGATTGAGCTTGTGCTGCATGGCTTGGAAGGATTAGTAGCTCTCCTAGAAAAATTTCTAGAAGAAAATACCTTAGAAAAAAGTTGTTGAAATTGGCGATCTAATTAAAAAGTTGTTTGAAGAGAGACCCGATAGGCGCACAGAAATTTAAAATTAGAAGCTTCATTCTCTTAGTAAGACAATCTAAAACTCTATTTAAAATTATTCATCTGTGTCCAGTTACTTATTTTTCTCTTCTACAAAACAAAAATAGAGAATAACCTGTAAAATACAGCATCTTGCCTGAAATGCATCTTCAGTAACATTTTTCAAATCTTTCCTCAGACCTATTTGAAGCCCTTTCAGAACTTATCATTTTGACAGCAAGTCATTGCTTACATGGGAAGGAAATAAGAAGCTTGCTGAATGAGAAGGTGGCTCAGCTGTATGCCGATTTGGATGGGGGTTTTACTCATGCTGCCTGGCTTCTGCCAGGTTGGCTACCTCTGCCTAGCTTCAGGTACCAGAAATAACAGATGAAGCAACTTAAGTATTTTATGTAAATGTGTTTGTTGTTTGGGGTTTTCTTTCCCCCCTGTTTCTTGTCTGTAAGCTATTCTAGACGTCCCAATAAATCCTCATAAGCATTTTATGTGTTACTTTGTTTAAAGTTGCTAATAGAAGTGTTTTGACTTGCAGACGTCGCGATCGAGCTCACAAAGAAATAAAGAATATTTTCTACAAGGTTATCCAGAAACGTCGAAAGTCTGAGGAAAAGGAGGATGACATGCTCCAAACTCTACTTGATGCTTCATACAAGTAAGCCAAGGGTTTGGAGACTTGTTGTTTACAGATGTTTTACGTTAGCTCTTCAGTTAAAACTATCTACCAAAAAATGAGAAATATTCCCCTGTGTTCTGAATTGTTTTGTTGCAAGCAATTGGTCCTAGCTGTATTCTTAAAAACAGCTTAAAAACTTTACTTGTAAATGGTTATTCAGATTTTTGAGTTTTTCATCAGTGGTTACAAGGCTGCTTCCTTTTGCTTTGCTGATTGTTTGATAATGATTTTCTTTAAGGCTCCTAGAGAGTGTCTTTCCCTCTGTTCTCCCTTCTCCCTACCCCTAGGTCTTTTGCTGCCCCATTTAGGGTAGGCAACGAAAGAGAAGGAGGAGAAAAAAGCACATTAGAAGAAATTGTAAATGCTACTGTAACAGGAAACTTGATCAAATGAAGCTCTAACATAACACCCTTCAACCTAGGGATGGCCGTCCGCTGACGGATGATGAAATCGCGGGCATGCTGATCGGGCTGCTGCTAGCGGGGCAGCACACGTCCTCCACCACCAGCGCCTGGCTTGGCTTCTTCATAGCCCGAGACAAATCAATACAGGAACAGTGCTACGCAGAACAAAAAGCAGTTTGTGGGGATGACTTGCCACCATTTGTGAGGCACAGCCTGAGCTGACTTTGATGCCTGGGCTTTCCTGTGACTCAAAAATATATTTAAAAAAAAAAAAAAAAAGACACTCACAAACAAATGTGAAATATAGTCATATGCTTTGTGTTAAGATCATAATCTGGCATGGTCACTCTGTGGTAACCGTTTGCCAATAATCTCCTCCATCTCCTCCTCTACAAGTAAATTTTCTGCTTGTTACTGTTTTTTTTTTAATCAGTGTTGATAAAGGAAATTACAGTTCTTATAATGTGTATTTAAGAAATGATAGTTTCTTAATGTATGCGTGAGACAAATGTAGAGGAGGAAGATCCTCGTATTCCCACTGAGGAAAGGGATGCAGCATGACCTTGATCTTTAATTAGGCATCAGAAAACACTCGTGAGACAGATTAGTAATACATTATTGGGGTAGCTAATGTAAATATGAGCTGCTTATTCTTTGATTATTTTTTTTTTTAAATTTGGTTTTAAACAATATAAGATACCATTTTGTTTGTGTTGAATAAACTTGGCTATATAACTTTCTCTATATTTTCAGCTCAAGGATCTCAGTTTGCTGGACCGCTGTCTAAAAGAAACTTTAAGGCTTAGACCTCCTATAATGACCATGATGAGAATGGCCAGAACTCCCCAAGTGAGTACACTTGTTGGAGCTGGCTTCACTTCAGCAGAACAGGGCTGGAAGAGGCCAGGTGGGGGGTGTCCTGGTGGGCAGAAGGAAGAACACGAGTGAGCAGCGTTTGTTGGCAGGGATGAAAGCTGATGGCTGCCTGGGTTATATCAGGGGAAGTGTAGCTGGTTGTTGATTGAGGAAAGCAATTAACAGCTTGAACAACTGGTAGTTGTTACCTTCATCTGGAGTTATCTGTGTCCAGTTTTGGACCCCTCTGGCCCCGGCAATCAAGATGTTGATGAAGTGAAGCAAGCAGAAGGCCACCAAGATGGTCGGGGCTTGTAGCACTTCTCCTCTGAGAAGAGGCTTGAGGGAACAGGGGTTGTTCAGCCTTGGAGAAGGGAAGGCTCTGAGGGGACACAGTAATGGCCATGTGCCAGTTTTGCTTATTCAGCAAAACTGACCCTTTCTTTTAGCTATCAGTCCCACTTGAGCTTAGTTTGGTGCTACCGTTTAAAGATATTTTTTTGTTTGTGGGTATTTTTAATAGCTATCTTGGAAAAATTTGGCTTGCACTTAATACAGGCTAGGTAAATCTGAAAGAAAACTTGCTGTTTGTACAAATAAGATAGAAAGTCAAGTCAATTTTTTAGACAAATGTCTCTCCCATGACAAATGCTTTCAGTAAATTTTAAGTTCATTCATTTTTTTAAAAAACTCTTTCTGTAGAAGTGCCAGCCTTGTTAAAGCAGCTGAAAGGCTCCTGCAACTACTTGAACATTGCGTCCTATGCAAGTAAAACAAACTATTGGGCTGCATGAATGTTAAATGAGCTTAGCCAAAATCTCTTGTGAAATTCATGGCTTATGATATAGCACTTCGGGTAACACTTTAAAAAGAAAACCGGAGAAATTTTGTGATGTGTGCGGGTCTTTTCTCTTGTAGACTGTTGCTGGATATAATATTCCCCCCGGCCATCAGGTCTGTGTGTCTCCCACTGTTAACCACAGACTCAGGGACTCCTGGAAAGATGCTCTAGAATTCAAACCTGACCGATATCTCCAAGATAACCCAGCAGCTGGAGAGAAATTTGCCTATGTTCCATTTGGCGCTGGTGAGTTAGAAAACAACCCCTTCCTGAGTGATTGTGCACTGAAGCGGCTCATATTGGTCTCCTCGTACAGCACCTCCTGCAGGGTCTGAGGATGTACATTTTTCTTCCTATTGCTGCCTGAAAGTTTTCTTAGTGTGAAGGTGCTGTTAAAAGAATGATGTGGATGATAGTTTTGCATTAGTAGGAGCTGTACATCATGCGGAGTAGCAATCAAAACAAATCTTTCGGTTAGCACATGTGATATTTGACTCAAGTCTTTTCAAGGCAAGGTAAAAAAACCTGGGAATACCAAGTCAGTTTAAGGCACCACAAAAAATCTGCATAGAGTCATAACTGCCAGAACAGTCTGAAAATATCATCACCGCAATATGGTTACAGTTGGTATTTTTTCTCAGTGTTGTAAACACTTCTTTGGTGATTCATAAATTAACTCTTTCTGGTGAGGACAGAACAGCACGATCTCCTTCAAATTACTCTGTTTTATGCAATAACAGCTTATAAAAACAAGACTTTGGTGGCATTAGTAATGGTGCAGGCGCAGCATCTGAGCCTCACCTTGTTCAGAAAAGAAAGACGCGATTACTGTCCACATAAAATTTTTGAAGTTAGCTTGTTGTCACAGGTGATCTAGTTACTAAGTATTCTAACTGCTTTTTATGGCTTCCCTTCTAGGCCGTCATCGCTGCATTGGAGAAAACTTTGCTTATGTTCAGATAAAGACTATTTGGTCTACTTTGCTTCGTTTGTATGAATTTGATCTCATCAACGACTATTTTCCAACTATAAATTATACAACAATGATACACACACCTAATAACCCCATTATCAGATACAAGAGGAGGTCACTGTAAATTTTGGAGCTAAAACCTTATTTAAGTTGTATACTAACAGACTTTTGAATGAAATTGTGACAAAATGAGTGGCAAGTGGAAACCGTTGCATCTGCTGTTAGGAAAGCAAGGATAATCTACCAGATACAAAGTCTTTGCATCTGTTTTGTTTGTTTGCCCACGCTATTTAATGCTGCTGTGCATAATTCCTTGTTCTACAAATTTCTCATTGCGTTTTTACAGAAAAAGTGTTTCTTCTGTTGGTGTAACATGTTTAAGGTGCATGCTGGCTCTTTAAGATGAAGAAATAAGTCATTTCTACAACCGGAACTCTTTTGCTTTTGAAAAATAATTGAAGATTACTTTTCCCCAGCTAACAAGGGGTAAGACTCTGTACCCAACCTCTGTGTCCAACTACAGTAAAACTGTCGGGGAACAGGCACTGAAAGGGAACATATCTGTGATTCTGTTCCAAGAGAACTAGGTATGGTCTTGGCTGATTCTTGGAATTTATTTTTTAAAAGTTACTGTACAGCTGAGTAGTAGGCAGACTCTGAAATGTTAATGGAGAAGTCTTTTCTGAGAATAAACGATTTAAATGTCTAACTTGACGCAGTTGTAAAACACTTAGGTTCAGAAAGCTACAAGTAATTTTCTAAAAATTTCTGCACGTAGTGATCTCTGAAAGCTTGGTGTAAGTAAGTGTGAAAGTAACAATATGATGATAACAAACAACGTTAATTTTGTAAATAACGTGTTCAAGTATAAAACGGTCACAAATTAAGTGAAATAGCTGAATGTTGTCCCCTTTTGTACTGACTCATGCAAGATTGTTAACTGGTGTTTGGTTCAAGGGTGGTGATGATAAATGGTAATGAGTTCTGGCTCACAGGAACTTTGAATTAAATTCATAAACTTACCTCTTGTGGATGTTTTCTGTGCTCATCCCTGGCAATTCCAAAAAGCTTTTTACAGTAAATTTGTAATAAACTACCTTACTTTCTTGTAAGTATAAAGATATCATGCAAAGAGCTCTCCCTCCCCTTTATCAGTGCTCACTAGAGCAAGGGCTTTGCCCAGTCTTTCCTGTTCTAAACTCAGGTGTAACTTCTAAAACCTCGTGTTTGTATCAGTCCCAGTAACTGAGGGAGTGCAGTATCTTACCTTCCAGCTCTGTAAGATGTGACCGGGGTCTTTAGAAACCACACTTGTGCCTGTCCTCTCGTCTCCTTAGCAGCAGCAGTTTGGAATCTGTAAAAAGTAAAGCTGCAGCAGCCACCACCAGTAGGAGGAACACAGTGTGAGTAAGGGAGTGGTTCTTGAACACAGTTAAAAGCATGAAGTCATCTTTATTTCAGTACTTTGACAAAATACCCATAAAATTCAAAACTTCTACCGTTACAAAAATAGGTCTCTACAAGTGATATTCTGTCTGCACTGCCAGTAGCAAATATTATGAGAGTCATGTAACTTCAGTAGCCTTGCCAGAAAAAGTGCAAGTAAACTTTGCTGAATGTAGCTCAATTTCATTAATACACAAGTTTCATCTTCGCACCCTTTTGATAAATACACACTTCATAAGTTAATCATTTAAATTAGCATTCCACAAATATACATGTAATTTAAGCGGGGAAGGGGTTTGAGGGGGAGGATTTGTTGGTTTGGTTTTTTTTTTGTTATTTTTGTTTGTTTTTTTCATGACCACAAAGTACCTATATACATAAACCCCAGTGTGGGTGGGTGGGTGTGCCAGGATGGAACTGTATACAATTGTCCAGCTGTGTTCATATTGGTCCCACAATATACACATTATACAAAAGCACAGAAAGAGCACAGATTTACAGAAGGCAATCCATTAACATCACTGCCCGTGATGGAGATGGCGGAAGGATATTATCTCCTCATACCAGCGTGCAACTGAGTGTATGAAGTCGAACCTGTAAGAGGGAGAAAGACTTTCATCAAGATTACTTGGAATAATTAGATGAGGATTTACCAACATGTTATTTAGATGAAGAAGTGTGAAAGATTTACCGGGGAAATCTTTTAAGAAAAAAGCTTCCTCAAATGATGGGTTTTATGTTGAAGTAAGACTTTAACACAGTAACCGCAAAAATCAAGTTTGATAAATTACATCCCATTGATCTGACAATTTTCTTGATGTGTTCCTTTTACAACACAAAAATTATCATAATCTATGGGACAAAAGGCTGTGACGTCTGTAATTGAAGTGGTAGGAGAAGAATTTCCCCTTGTGCTCCCACTCCTCAATCTTTTGGGTACATTTTTCTCCATCTAGCTTAAAATTTTCATAAGATGCCAACTGAACCCTTGCTGCACATTTATTAGAGATCAGGCAAAGTTAAAGTGTTACCAATAAGCTCAAAATCTGTAATTAAAGCACACTTGTCTGTCTCCCTTCAAAAAATTTTACAATTTTCTTTTTAATGAGCTTTTGGCTACAGCTCAGAATAGCCTCTTGTTTAAGGCGGAAAATGCCTAAAATCAAAGATGCTTCTTATGTATTTCGGGGAACCAGAACACACTTCTTAACTTGGCGCTGTGCCTTGTGCTACGCGGGAGTGATGGGGCGGACTGCCCGAGCCCTCACCTGACTGCACGCTGCCCAGTCGCCGTTGCAGCGCCTCCAGCCGATTGATGTAATCTGTCAGAGCTCTTTCAGGATCGTAGTTCTGCAGTTGAGAACAGGCGAAAGACACTGGGTTTAAATCAGTGTGCATACTGTGGAACCTAGGGGCAGAACAACACAGATGGTTTGTAAAAAAGCAAAAATTCAAATAAAAGTGTCAGCAGACATAGCAAAATACCGTAAGTGGGGACAACCTTACTGCCTGCACGTCACTTACCTGACCCCTGTGGTTACCAGCACATCACGCCCACTTAACCTCCCTGCCATTTATTGCCCGAGCCATTGTACTGCCTCCCCCAGAGAAACCACTTTTCCCTGTTGCCTTTTCTTTCTTTTGCACCAGATTTGTTGCTGCATTTCTCTGGGACAAAGACTGACCAGCAAATTCCTACTGAGACTGCAGCAGAAGCCATCGTAGATTCATGTTTGCTTTTCTACTAAGCTCGTGTGAACAAGGACACAGCCGTCGTTACAGGATTCTGTCTCTCTTCATTACTTTCTCGAAAGTCAAAAGTGGCTAAAATAATTAAACATTTTTTCCATGTAAACTGCTACGGTTGCCACAAACTAAGATTACAAATGTTGAGGTGGTTTATATAAAAATAAAGATCCAAACCAGCAAGAATCTGATACTCAATAAAGCTCAGAGCCCACAACTCCACATGAGGTAATGAAAGGCTGATGGCACTCCTAAAAACCCTGTCTTAGGTGAAAAATACCTGTTTTCACTGGCATCCGATTCACTAATACCTCTGGTATCGCAGCTCAGCAGAGCCAACCAGAAGGGTTTAATCAAGAACAAGCAGTGGAGCTACCAAGCAGCTTCCACCCGTGCGTTGGCCATGAGGCCGTGATAATTCCTCCCAGCCCACAGTGACCAGATGACCCTCCGCGGCCACAGCGAGCGGCTCTGCTTCTCCCTTCCTTCAGCTGAGGGCACCTGAGGCAGCTCCTCCCGGTGCCGCAGCAACCAGAAAGGTGGACAGGCAGTGGAGGTGTGCTTGGTGACAACGCCTACACTCTACGGAGGTCAGTAAATGTAGCTCCATCCCGTCATCTACCACCAGTTCCAAGAACATGCCATAAATCAGACAGCAGAAGTCTCCAAGTGTTGCCCTTGATCAGGTGTTGAGTAAACGCACCATGAAGGCCTGAGATGTAATTTGTTATGTATCCTTACAAAAAAAAGTTAAAAATCGTACAGCATCAAAGATTACAAACCTTAGCAGTGAGCAGTGACACATTCATTTAGTTACATGGTGTCCTGACAGAGAATAATCTAAAATAAAACATACTTATGTTGAAAGTTTACAGGAGATCTAAGAGACCCCATGTCTGACCTGGATCTATAGGAATGCCTGTGTTCTCCATAAAGATCCACGCCACCAGAGAATGAATCGGGCCGTAGTTCATTACCTAGAAATATAAAAAGCAGTATTTTGAAAACTAAAAAAAAAAAAAATTAACACCTTTCTCACTTTACTGGGAATCTCAAATGCGAGTTTTCTGTTTGCGTATCACAAAAGTGGTGGTTAACAAAGGTAGATCACTTTCAGACTGCGTCCAAGAACACCAGAGGTGAAATCCCAGTCTCAGCGATGTTAATGGGAGAACTCTGAGAGCCTGAGCAGGACAGGGCTTTAGTGAAGACCTAGAGAGCCAGGAATTAATAGAGAACCTTCTGATTCTCCTTTGGCTCCTACCAAAAAGCAAACAGAAAACCAGATCTCCCAAACTTCAAGCTGTAACAAAAGAATGACAGGCTTTCGTTCTGAGGAAAAGGCCAGGGAGGGCCGGGCAACGGGCTCTGTCACCACTGCAGGGACACCGTAGCTGCTATGATTCCTCTGTCCATCCCTGTCCTCAGCATCCCCTCTCAGAGCTGGGGGTGCGGATGCCTTATGAGAAACCCAATGACACAGCTAAAATTGTTTTTACAAACAGACTCCATAGGGAAAGTTGCCATATTTTTTTAAATCCCACCCACAACGGAGCAAAACAAGATTGAAGAAAAAGCAAATAGATTGGTGTCTGTGCCGAGCACGGAAACTCTCAGAAACCTGAGAAATAGGTTAATCCAAGCAATCATAGCAAAAGAAAGGGGGAACAGCACCTCATTCATTCCACATGAGGAAAATACAAATTAAAAACCATCTCCAATAAGCAGTGGTGTGACTTGTGAATACCATTTTTTCAGTCATTACTGGACTACGATTTACCTGTGTTCTGGCTGAAGACATCCCTGTTGATACTTAGTACACCAGAACCCGTAACTCTGTGCCATCGACGAACCAGAAACTTCATTCTGCATTTCAAATAAAAAAATAAATACTTCAGGATAAATGAAATAGTCTGCTAAAAATAATCTGCTGCTTGTAATCGAGAAGGCATGAGAATTTCTTGAACACCAAGTAAAATTAATGGATGGGTGTCTAGAACCTGAAGATTGAGTAGAAAACATCCTTATACACATCCCTAAGAAAATCATCTTTTGTCCAAATCTGCCTACAGCTTCACCTCTGCAATTCCAGTGATTCCAGAGGTGCTGCGTAAGTCCAAGAGGACAGCAAATGGCTGAAGCACCTAAACAACAGGG